AGCAATTGCTGGAGAAAAAAACTGAATCCACCACTTAAGTTTGGGTCAACTACGAAACAAGGGTGTCTAAAGTTCAGCTTTAACGAGGTATATTTTCAGCAATATATTGACATCCAAGTGGTTCTAGAAAATTGTCATAAGCAAGTTTTTGCCTTAATAACTTTCTGGTCTTCATTCCAGTTTCTTAGAGCTTTCAACTGACACACACACAAACAATCTATTAATAATTAAAAGAGAAAACTATGATTTTGGTGGCTTAATTATTCACAAATTCTAATTTTGGATACTCATTTAATTGGACAAGTTTAACCTTCAACTAGTAGAATTGTGGCTTCTGCGCCATGGTGATGTCTAGGGGTGGCAAAATGGTTCAAAAAAAACAGTTAACCACCCATATTATCCACTAAAAAATGGGTTGGATAATGAACATTTTAAAAACGGGTCAAATATGGATAAGAACCATATTATCCATTTAGAAAATGGATAATCAATGAGTAACCAATGGATAACCAATGGGTCTAACTTTTACATTTGTAAAGCCTCAAATTGGGGGTTCCTCAAGTTAGAGAGACTAAGAATTCTCCCAAAAGTGATCATATACAAGAAGTCATGGATAATATGAGTAACCCATATTATCCGTCGGTTAACCCGTTTTTTACCCGTATTAAATATGGGTCGGGTCGGATAATTAATCCGTTTTTTCATTACCTGTTTTCAACCCGAACCATATCCGACCCGACCCGCCGTTTTCCACTCCTAGTGATGTCTAGCAATCAAGAAGAAACAAAAAATGGACTTTTACCTAGTTATACTATATTAAAAACTTTTTTACCTATGTTCTCTATATTTTGTAGTTTTTAATAAATATCTAGGTTTTTCTTACAAGTTGTATATATTATTCCTTAAAAGGCTCTCACCCCATTATTAGTGTCTTCAATTAAGGGATTCAATTACATCCTTTCCTTTTTTCCTCTCTTCTCTTCTCTCTCCTTTTTCTTACATCAAAATCACTTAATTTACACCAAGAATCTCCATCTTCTCTCTTCCCACCATTGCCGACAAAGTTATATATTAAAAAATATTCAGAAATTATATGATAAATGTATCATAATTGTATTTGAATTGTATTAGATACATCAATGTCTAATACATAATTGTATCATACTTGTATTACAATTGTATCTAACCTGTATCTGGTACATTAATACCTAAAATAATACCTGATACAGTACTAATAAATTAATATACAATTATCATACTTGTGATACAAACTGTGAAATTCGTCATGAACTCACAACTGCTCATAACAATATACAATGAATATACAATTATCATACATTTGTAATACAATTCCTGCAACAATTATGATACATATACAATTATAATACAATCGCGATACATTAATTTTTAAAATTAGTGATACAATTATGATCTTCATCTTATTCAAGTTTCAATCATAACTCTACACTAAAAATTTAATATACTCATATTAAATTTGTATTAGTATTGTATCGAGTATTGTTTTGGGTATTGATGTGTCATATACAATTCTACAATAAAAAATTTAGGAAAAAAGAAAACAAGATTCAAAACTTACCCAGAACATGATTCCATAGCAATATTTCAAATTTCGTCTGCATTGTATCAATAAGAAATAGAGATTTTGAGTGATTAGTAAGAAAGAGAGAAATTAAGTTTGAAAACCTTTGGAAAAGAAAAAGAATTGGAAATGCCGGGGGGGGGACAAAAATAAAAGAGAGATTTTCGGTGATTATTAAGAAAGAGAGAAAAAAGGAACATAATCTAGGGGGAGTTATTGGAAATGGGTTGTACCTGACAAGCTAAAAGTAAGGGATCTTGAATTTTTTCTTTTTAATAGTTTTGTATATAACTTGTAAATATAGATATACAAAGTAATTAATAAAGAACCTAAATAAATGTGGTAAATAAGTTTTTACTATAGTATAGCTCCTACTCCACAATGATCATCCTTCTTCATCTCATTTTTCACTTGGAGTTTGTGCCAGTGAACTGAAAAGGAAATTTACACCCTATAGAAAAATTTAGTACCCTATTTATTTTAAATAAATACCATTTTAAAATATTACATCCTATAGATACCTTTTATCCTTTATAGCAAAATATCTAATTATAGTTACATCCTACATTTAAGGCACCATATATGCTAAATAATATTTTTCTCTCTCCTTTTTAGTCTTTTCTCTCACAATCACCGTATATCGGCTCTAACCACGTTCTCTCTCTCTCTCTTTTTGTATACACTTTACTCTCTTCTCCCACAAACCCACGATTCATACCTCTTCTCCCACCCAAGTTCTCTAGGTCTCCGCCATTATCACTCCCCATTTCTTTTCTCTCTAAAATCACTGTTTTAGAGCCAATACAAGTGCTTAGGGTAAGTTTAATTCTTAGATTTTGATATCATTATTTTGTTTCTCTAATTTTGATACAGATTTTAGTTTGTTTCTGAAACAATAACCATTGATATTGTTTACTCACCAGGAAGCTTTGACTTTTCTCTCCAATGTCGGATTCAACGCCACACAAGATGATAACCAGAGGTATACCCACCAAAATTCTCAATTTTGATGGGCCCTCTTTCTCGTTGCAAATAACTCAAGCGGAGTCGGATTTTGCGGGTTTATCAGCAACTACAGTTTCAGAGAGAAGAACTAAATTACACAATGATAAATCGAAAGAAGTCCAAGTTGAGAAATCTTCAAAAGAAACAAAAAATCCAGTTGCTTCAAAGTGGAAAAAACCTATGAATGATTCTTCATGTGTCAATGTTAAGGAAGTTGATGCAAAAAAAATATCAGATACACGACACGAAAAGGTAATTGCTATTGTATCAATATGCATTCAAAGAAACTTATATGTATTCATAATTATTCAAGTTATTTTATATGTATGATTTTGTATTCGTATGTATCTAGTTGTATTCATAAGTATTAAAACAATCCAGAACTCATTTGCACATTCACATTTGTCAATAATTGAGTTGTGCTTACTTGAATATTATATGTTGTATTTAAATGTATTTAGATGTATTCAAATTTACAATCACTGTATTTCAGTACTTATTACAGTTTTCCTTGCATGTTGTATGTATATATTCACATTTTTGTACTATTTGGTTTTAATGTATTCAGTTGTATTTATACGTATGTATATGTATTCTGATGTATTTTTATAGTTGTATTTTTAAGGATTTTCAAGGTTCCCATCACTGTTGTATTTTGAAGCAAGTATTTTTCAATGTATTTATTTGTTGTTTGCAAATGTTTAATTTTCCAGTATGTTTTTAATTGTATTCATATGTATTCGTATGTATTCATGTCAGATGTACTGTTAAATATGCTGTGTATTCAGTTATATCTATACTTCTAAGTGTTTGAAGTTGTATTCATATGTATTCATGTCAGATTTACTATGAAATATGCGTTGTATTCAGTTGTATTTACATGTATTTATTCTTGTTAAATGCAGGGAATTAAGTTTTTTGTGAAACACCAGCCAATTTTTGCAACGCATATCAGTGTATATACTAACACTGACATAGTCTCCGAGCTAAAAGAGAACCTTACTCCAGATCAGTACAAATAACTGGGTAATACTTGCTTTGGAAATTTTCTTCAAATGAAGCGTTGTGAAGTCCAACATCAACTCTTCAGATGCTTCATGACTCTCCTCTGTGGACTATGCTATGCGGAAGATAGACGCTGATGCCATAAGCGAGAATGAAGCACCTTCAAAGATTGCTAGGCAAATCACGGAGTCAGATTCAAAGATGCAGATAGTGTTAGAGTAGCTTTAGGTTAATGTAGTTTTGGAATGTAGTTTGAAGAAGAATACTGTTTTGAGTAGTTTTTTGGTGAAGATGGTATTTAGTTTGAAAAACTTATCACTTTATCAACAGTGTTCGTGTATGACAATTGCAACTTTTCAATCGCTGTTTCACTGGTTTGTTCATACGTATTCATGCTTATTCTTCAGTTTGTATTCATATGTATCTTATAGGATTCAAGTATGTATTAATATTCAGTAACTTTGCTTGAACAAGTTTTAGGTATTGAACATGTTAATATCAAAGTCAGAAACTTTATGTATTCTGATGGTAGGTTATATTAAAGAATTCAGATGTATTTTTCTCAATTCAGGTGTATTCAGTTGTATTCGAATGTATTTTTTAGCTGTATACAGTTGTATTCAGAAGCATTCATTTATATATATCTTTCAAGTTCAGTTAATACATATTAAAGAATAAAAATTCAGATGTATTAAACAGGTTATACGTATTCAGTTGTATTCAATTGTTTTATTCAGCAGTAATTAGTTGTATTCAAGTATTTTATTCAGCTGTATTCAGTTGTATTTTGTTGTATTCATCTATATTCAGTTCTACTCAACTGTATTATTTATATAAATACATCAGCTGTATTCAATTGTATTTTTTTGTATTCAGCTGTAGTCAGTTGTATTCAACTGTATTATTCATATGTATTCTCTGTATTCAGCTATATTCTTTAATATGTATCTTTCAAATTCAGTTAATATTTGAAAAAGAATATAAATTCAGATGTATTAAACAGGTTATTGTCTAGTTAGATAATATAAATTCAGACTTATTGAAATTGTTATATTACAGCTGAGTATATAGATATATTCTGATGAATCTGACTAGTTATGTATATAACTCAGGCACTGTCTATAATAAACTGTCAAAGTATATGTGGACAAGGTTATATTCGATTGTATCCAACACATTAAGGCAACTATATGTATTCAGAATCTATCCACGAAAGTCATTTCAGAAATTATTACTTGACAATGAGAATTTATTACTTGACAATGTCATCATAAGTATTGACAAATCGTTGAAGCACCAATACATGTCAGAGTGTCAACTATTTATTACATGGAGCATTTCTACACGTTCGCTTGTTATGTCCACCCTGCCCACATATGCTACATGAATGTTAATTTTTCGGCTGCAGCAATTCACTTAAAGATTTATCGCGCTTCTTCTTTGGCCTTCCAGGAGGTCTTTTCCATTTGGGTGGTAGTACAACCTCCTCTGCAACATGTGCTGGTATATTCCAGTCATTTCTGTCCGGTAGCGGGTACACAGGCACATCGTATGTCATTACAATAGTATTTGGTTTGTAATAGTTAGAGCAATATTCTTCTGGCATTAGAAACTTGCTCTTCAATACAGCCCAAGCATGTGGGCATGGCAATTCATCAACTTGGAACCTCCCACAAACACATTTTCTCTCTAACAGGCAGACTGTGTAATTCCTCCCTCCATCGTTAACCGTATGTAAGTATTCAGTTGATGGTACCACCTACATTTAAAAATAGAAATATAAGTTTTGAGCACATCTAACTGAATTACCATATGTATAATGTTGAATTACTAAGTTACAACAACTGAAATATTTGCATATTGATGAATACATCATATATTTAACCAGCAGAATATCAACTGTAATTAGTGCAGAACGTATCAAAAGTCTGCTGTACTTTAGGCAACAGGAGGCTAACAAAAATATTAGAAGGATACGTCATGACAATACATATTAAAATTACATATAATACAGCTTTGTTAGTTGTATTCTGATGTATTCGAATAGTTTTTGCAGCATGTTTTTAGTTATATTCAGTTGTATTCATATCAGATCTTCGAAAAAATATGTCTTGTATGGGTTTGAATTTAGTTGTATTCATGGTAGTTCTATTTAAAAAAATAATTGTATTCAGTTGTATTCATGCCATTAATTTAGAAAATAATTAAGCTATATACTACAATGACATTAAAATATAACTTACAGTCATACGTGTAGACATTGCCTCATTCAAAGTGAGCATCTCCTGGTATTTTTTTCCAAGCGTCGTGTATGTCTGTGTAGCTTCTTTGCGGTTACTACAATTCCAACGTCCAAACATCTTCCTAACTTCTTCGAGGAAGTCGTATATTGGCAATTCCCTTGCTGAAACTAGTGTGGCATTGATTGACTCAGCAATATTTGACGTCATTGTCCATCCCCTATTAACAGGTGCATACAACCTAGCCCACTTTTCGTAACTAGCTAACTCTAAGTATTCTTTCACCCTAATATCTGCCTTCTCCACTTTCTCCATCAGACTGTCAAATTCAGCTTGTGTGTATGCTTTTGCCATCGAGAAGTATATCTCGCTCAACTTGGCATGGCTCTTTTTGAATTTCTTATATACGTTGTTCCATAGATGCCATATACAAGCAAAATGCGGTACATCTGGATACACTCTCGATACAGATTTAATGATACTCTCATTTCTATCTGAAACGATGCACATGTTTTCTCTGTCACCGTATGCTATCTTGAATTGCTCAAAGAACCACGTCCAAGCAGCATCGTTCTCTGAATCAATAACACCATATGCTAGTGGCAATATATGACCTGTAAATACAATTGAATATAATTATTTTGAAAACATGTATTTCAATATTTAATATAGTAACAGATTATATTATAATTCAGATACTCACCTGCACCATCCGACGTGCTTGCCGAAACGAATGTCCCGGTGTAGTAAGATTTTAGGTGACTTCCATCCACAACAACAATGGGTCTACAGTGATCAAACCCCTTTATAAAGGCATACAAAGATATATACACGTACATGAATTCATTTTTTGGCGATTTTACCATTCTGATGTGGGAACCTAGATATGTCATATCCATTGTATATAAGTATCCTGATAATTTTTTGTATGAATCAGCCGGTTCACCTCTCAAAAAAATCATTGCCTTTTCTTTAGCCCTCCACGCCAACATGTAGCTAACAAATACACCTAAATCTGATTTCACATCATCAATAATATCCTTTGGGGTGTATTTCCTTTTATGATTAGTAAGCTTAGGCCTTATCATACCACCTATAAGGCTGCTACTTGCCTGCCGCTGCTCATACACCTTGTCCTTCAGCGGACATGTATGGTTATCAATGAATTCTCTCACTTTGAATAGTTCTGATCTGTTAATGCTTGAAGCCTTAAACCTCCATTCACAATCTTTTGAAATACATAATAATGTATAGCTGCAAAGAATTAATCATTGTACATATGATTAGCATAAGTGTTTACAAAAAAATCACTCATATACACACGAATACAATCTGACATAGATACATCCTGACATCTATATATATAAATTTTTATACTACTGAATTTAGTTATAGTTATATGCATTTAAATACAATGAATACAACTGAATACAATTGGTGGTATATGCATACACTTAAAAGCACAGTAGACAAAATAAGAGAATAATTATAGCCACTGTAATGTAATTATACCAGTAAAATACATATGAATACATGTATTTAAGGACCATAAACAAACATATGTTTACTACATCTGTGATAATCAAGAGGAAATACACAAATACGCATAAATACAATGACGTTAAACTTACAGCTCGAACCAATAATAGAAAATACAAAAAAAAAAATTAAATACATGCAAACCTGACAGCATTAGACCTATCAACCCGGAATTGAAACCTTTAAGCTATAGCATAATTCTCCATCACCTCTTTCAATGTAGCCTTATCCTTATACAGTTGTCCAGCCATAACCTCCCTTTGATTAGTTTTTGAAGTTATCAAATCCTTGTGGAGTTCGAACACTCCAATCGCTTCTCCTGAATTGACAAAATCTAGAGCCAGTGTATCATCTATATCGGAATCGTACCTTTGACCTGCTTCGTCTATTTGCACAATGTCGCCTTGATTTAAACTACCTCCGGATACAAGTTCTTTTTCAATAGTTGTTATGCACAAAGGATACACCCCAAATTCTCTGTTCTCTTTTTTTAATTCTACATACACTCTGTAACCCATATCATTGTGTATTTTCATTGGCGTGCAATTTCCTTCTACTTTGTATTGAATTTTAATGGAATTTGAGCTCAAATCTATACCCAGTTGATTAGAAATTGAAGCAACTAGATCATTAAAGGAGGCATACTCCTTTATCAGTATTCCCTAAATTGAAAAATCGATGTAATTTCCCTCATCGTTCCACTTGCCAGAATGATGCAACAACACTGTTAAACTTGCCATATGTATAAAGGAACTATACCGTATTTTGAAAAAGTGAAAAATGACTGAAAATCCCGACTTTATACTGTGCTGAAGACCCGGCGCGGACAGCACAAAAATGCCCCGCGGCCGCTCCGAGGAAGAGTGGGAAAACCACTCTCTGAACCTACCCAGCGCGGACCGCGCTAATTAGTCACGCGGCCGCGCTGGTCGACTTGAACCACTGGCCCTCTGAACCTAGCCACGCGGACAGCGCAAGAACGCACCGCGGCCGCGCGGCTTCCAGCGCGAACCGCGCGGAAATGACCGCGGCCGCGCTGGGGGCCTGCAACACCTGAACCTGCAACCATCTGATATTTCTAGCCTAAGACCTCCCGGGACCTACTCAAAACTCACCCGAGCCCTCGGGGCTCCAAACCGAACATACATATAAACTCAAAAATATCCTACGGACTCATCCGTGCGATCAAATCGCCCAAACAACATCATAATCATCAAATTAGGCCTCAAGACCCAGGATTTCTTTCCAATTTTCATAAAACATCAAGTTTAGAGTTTTTAGTCCAAAACACGTCAAACGACGTCCAAATTCAACCAAACTTTACAGAAAGTACTTAAGTCGTATATAAGACTTGTACCGGGCGTCGGAACCAAAATACGAGCCCGATACCACAGTCTTTTAATCAAATTTCATTTCCAATTTCCTTAATTATTTCCAGAAAACAATTTCACACAAAAATTCATTTCTCGGGCTTGGGACCTCGGAATTTGATTCCGGGCATACATCCAAGTCCCATATTTTCCTACGGACCCTCCGGGACCGTCAAATCACGGGTCCGGATCCGTTTGCCCAAAACTTTGACCGAAGTCAAACTTAATCAATTAAATACCAAGATTTAACAATTTTTCTCACAAATTTCATATTTAAACTTTTCCGGCTACGCGCCCGGACTGCGCACACAACTCGAGGCAAGCCCAAATGAAGTCTTCAGGGCCTCAGAAGTACAGAGGGAGTAGGAATATAGGTGATGACCCTTTTGGGTCGTCACACCTATACACTATTAAAAATTTTATTACCAAAAATATCCATGTTTAGTTAATTACCCGACCTAAATAAGTTTTGTTTACAAAAATATACATCGCACCTTAAAAGGCTCACAATCCATTATTAGTGCCTTCAATCAAGGGATTTAGTTACACCCTTTTCCTTTTTTTTTCTCCTCTTCTCTTTCTTCTCTCCAGATTTTGTTTGCTATACCCTTGATATCTAAGATCTTTTCTTCTCTTTGAATATTCGATGTAAATTACTTCCTCTGAGTTTTTCTTACGTTTTCTTCGTGCTTGACGAATATCGAACACTATGGGAATATCGAACACTATGGCCCAATATAGAATTTTCTTCTCTTATCTGTTGCCAATACCTTGAAATGCTTGGGTTTTAAGGTTTCCTTTACCTTTATATTTCCGTAAGAAACTAAATCTACAATTTTAGTACATGATTTAAATTATCTAACAACTTCAGCATACAAATTAATGAAGTTTTGTCAAGCATTTCTAGTGGCATGTGTATCTAGAGGTAGAAAATATTTGTTCATGAATTTTCTTGGCTCCTTGAATGTAGATAGTAGTAACAGATTCAATGTGCAGGAGATACTCTTTTCATATATGATTACATACCTTGGATTCTTAGAAATGAAACTTATTACTTCATCCATAAAAAGAAGTTTGATGGAATTTTGAAATTCAATCTCTTAAAACATTATTGGCATTTGTCAAATTGCAACATTGTCTTAAATATAACTTAAATATAATTTTTATACAAATTTTATACAATATATCTTTTGTATATTTTATATTTGATTTATACATAGTAATTATATATTATAGTACTTATTTACAACTTATCTACAACTTTCATATATTATTTCTACCAAGTTAAATACAACTACGATATCATACAACTTAAGCACACTTTTTATATAAATTTTATACAATATGTCTTTTGGATATTTCGTATCTGATTTATACATAGTAAAAATAAACTTCATACAACTAATTATATATTATACAACTTATCTATAACTTTCACACATTATTTCTACCCAATTATATACAACTCTAATATCATACAACTTAAATATAATTTTTATATAATATTGTGCAACTTTCATACAATATTTAAATAAAAAATATATATATAAAAAACAGAATACAATTTTTTTACAATTTTACTACAACTTCTTACTATAATTTCTGTAGTATAATGTATGTCATGTCGTCTTCTTCTTCTTCTTCTTTGAGTTTCAATCTGAAATTCAGCCAAAATCATGTCTAATCTTTACCAAAACACCCTCAAAATTGAGATATAAACTCCAAAAAATATTCTCAATTATTTGTAACAACACCCAATCCAAATAAATAATGGTTTTTGAAAACCCAAATTCAAATTCAAAGCTTCAAAGCTTTTTAATGGCTGTCAATGGTGGAACTATTGCTCTCTTTTCCTTTGCTTTACATTACTGGAATTAGGGATTGGGAGATAGACAGAGACGTAGAGAAAATTCCCAATTGTTTGCAACAACACCCAATTCAAACAAATAATATTTTTTGAAAACCCAAATTCGAATTCAAAGCTTCAAAGCTTTTTATTAATGGCTGTCAATGGTGGAATTGCTGCTCTCTTTTCCTTTGATCTTTATTATTGAAATTAGGGAGAGAGAGAGAGAGAGAGAGAGAGAGAGAGAGAGAGAGAGAGCATGAGGGAGAGAGAATAAGGATGGAAAATAATTGATTCCTAATATAAAGGGATACTCATTTAATTTCTAAAGTGTATATAATTGGTAAATTTGTATATAAGAGGTAATTAAATTGAAACTTGAGTAGGAAGGGTAATAAAGTTTCCATTAGTGTATAGGTATGTAAAATCTCTAATAAAAATTCTATTACTGGATATAGTGCACTGCTAAAGTTGGTGTCTGGCCAGCTTGTGCATGTTTCTTGTTATTTTATCGAGTAATTGTAAATTACTACCAACAAAAGAATTAAATAACTCTACTTACAAAGGTGTAAGTCGAAGAAAAATAAATCACATAATATTTTTCTCTTTATTGGTATTCGAAACCATATCTCCCCATGATTTTCATGTATTTTATTGCAAACAGTAATGATGATTATTGACCCTAAAAAAATTAAACATAAAAGACACCTTTTAGTAAAATAAATGTTCGCCTTAGGTTGAAAAGCAAACTTTAATATTAGCAGCGGCCTCAAAACAAAAGGATATAATGCATATGTTACACCCCACACCTTCCCCCCCCCCTCCCCCAATAAGTTGGAATTAATAAGGCCTTTAAGTGCAACTAATCGGTCGGTGGCATGTTATGGAGATAAAGGGTGATTACACATCTTATTAGACTGCGCCAGCTGCCCCACCGGGCACATCTGGTGTGGGGCGAACCGTTTAGCACTTGGGGCGGAATTTTCTAGAACCTGATACAAAAAGTAGCACAACTCCTCTCTTTTTCATTCTACGCCATCCTACCAGCTTTAGGATTTTCCAAAATACTCTCAAACTCCTTCAAAGAACACTTAAACAATTCAAGGCTAATCCAAGGCGAACTAGCAAAATTTAACGAAAAGGGTCTCGTGATCATCTTTCATCACTAAGCCAGTTGTCCTCTTGTTATACTGATTTTGAAGACTTCCTTGGAAGTAAAAATAATCACCATATATATATATATATATAGATAAAAGCTGTGCTATAGTTGGCTGGGTACGAAATCAATTACTGATCAGTTGATTATGATGTGAGACGTTACTGAGTCCTCTATAAGGTCGGGTATAGAATAATATAATATGAAATATTACTAAGCGCTCTTGAGACCGGGTACGCTGAGTTCTGTTAAGACCGGGTACAACCGAGATCTCCTGAGGCTGGGTAAGAACGAGCCCTCATGAGGCCAGGTACAACCGAGACCTCCTGAGGTCGGGTATGATGTGATGAAAGCATGGGACTTTATCGAGTCCTCTATAAGGCTGGGTACGATATGAGATCATATGCCCCAAAGAGTGGCTGAATAATATTATATTGCACCTAATGCATGTGCCGAATGAGTGGCTTGATTTTTATAAAACTTACATACATTTATGATTCATGGATACTGCAGTTCACGCCCCAGTGGTTTATTTTTGGTATTCAGGTTGAAATTGTGTATCCATACCTCTTAGGTTATGCTTTTGGTATACATATATTATCAATCTACATACTCGGTACATTTTTCGTACTGACGCCCTTTTCTTTTGGGTGTCGTGTTCATGCCCACATGTATGGATAGACTCGGTGACATCCCTCCTCAGTAGGGTGCTTGTTTCAGCTGTTGGTCATCGCACTCTACTTCTCTAGAGTAGCTGTACAGAAGTCGATAGGTATTGAGTATATGTTTCAGTCGCTGTACAGAAGTCGATAGGTATTGAAGTATATGTTTCAGGCATTTTGGGTACAGTGGGGCCCTATCCTGACTAAGTTTAGTTATATGGTACTTTTGGAGGCTTGCATACTAGAGTCCAATGTGTATGTAAATGTTGGGATATTAAAGTTTCCTCTATAGTCAGTTGTGTACGTTTCTTTTAAACTTTGGTACTATACTTGGAGGGAGAAATTCAAAAATAGCCAGATTTAGCACTAGTCGTTGAAAAATAGCCAAGTTTCAAAAGTCATCGAAATTTAGCCACTTTAAATCAGAGCGAAAACACTGTTCAAAATCCGGAAAAATACGCCCGCAAATTTTACGGGAGTTCCAGCATAAGTATGCTTGAACTCCCGTAAATTTTACGGGAGTTCCAGGATAACTATGCTGGAACTCCCGCAAATTTTACGGGAGTTCAAGCATAATTATGCTGGAACTCCCGCAAATTTTACGGGAGTTCCAGCCAGTATAATATACTGGAGTTTGGAGCACTGGTGCTCCAGTCTCCCGCAAATTTTACAGGAGTTAGCAAAGTATACCGGTCCAGCATAATATGCTGGAGTTCGTACACAAATGCACCAGAACTCCCGTATATTATACTGGACCGGTCCCTGTTGCAGCAAAATAGTGGCTATTTTTCATTGACTTGATAAACGCTGGCTATTTTTCATTGACCAGTGTGAAAACTGACTATACCATAATATTTTAAGATACTACTTGGAGGTTTCACTGGCCCAAATTTCATGGTGAAAGATCTAAGTAAGGACGTTGGTTCACATGTGCCTTCGGGCGTCGTGCCGGTCGCACCTCCCGAGGTTGGGGTGTGACATATATCCTCAAAGAAAGGGTAACCCACCTCTCCCACCACAAAAAAAAAAAAAGAAAAAAAAAAGAAAGAAAAAAGCTACATTCATCTGCAGGACTTTGAAGTGGCATATATATATATATATATATATATATATATATATATATATATATATATATATATACTTCGTAATTTGTGGGTGTTTGAAAGCCATAGCATTTTTGTGATCACAAAATCATAATGGTAAAAATAAATTTAAAAATTTAAAGTTAAACTATTTCTAAATATAAAATAATAATTATTTTTTTAACCGATAAAAAAAATATCACTTGAATGGAAGGAATACTTAGTTATCAAGCATTGCGTACCCCAAACAGTTGTTGGGTTTTAACTGGACTTCGGAAAATTAGGGGGGCCCAAAGAGAAGGACGGGCTGGGCTGAAGTTAGGAGTGAAGCCCGTAGAAGATTCCTATTGACAGTGTCCTAAATTTTCTCCTAGGAAGCTTGACTAGTAGATTTTGAATCCGCGGAACACGTTTGATTCCAAAGCTTGTAGAAAGCCCTAGAATCTTCTATTTCGGGTCAATGCTTTTATTATTACGACCAAAGATCAAGAGAATGATTACAGTTTGAAGCAATCACCATTCTCGTTTTTCCAAATCGGTAAGTTTTACGATTCTTTTGTATTAATCAATCAATTTCACCTCATCTTGAACTATTTTGCGTCAGTTCTTTGAATTTTATGTAAATCTTAATTTTGAATTTACATCTTATGTGGTCTGATCTGAATTTAAGGCAATCGCTAGCTATTGCTCTTTCCTTTATCTGTATAGGAACATTTATATTTCACAATTTATTAGGTTGAATTATGATTATAGATAATTCAGCTTTACATCGTTGTACAAGGGGCACGATTATAATTTAGGTTTTCTTGTTTGTGCGCCTAATTTTCCGTCCAAAAAGCTATTTTTAATTCAATTTCAAGGTTATAGCAAATTGCCCTTTACAAGTCACATTCAAACTTAGAGATTTTTTCAATGCCTTAAAGAATGAAATAGAGGTGAAATTCTCCCTTTCTAGCTTGGTTGATCCATGATTTACCTTTCACATATGCCTATTTTCGTTTTCGAAAAATGTATGGATCAATTTCGATTCTTTCTTATTCTCTTGATTATTTTGTGAGTGTTTTTTCTTCAGCAAATTTCCAGGATGAATATATGAATGGGTGATTTTGTAGTTGTAATATATCATTTTGATTGAGTTTTTTTTTCTTTCATTTTAATTGTATCATATGCTCAAGCAAAAGAAAAAGTTCTCATTTTTTGTTGAATGTTTGTAAAGTGACAGCTAGTTCTTGTATTATGGCGGATATCATGTTTAAGGTTTCTGCTTTATTTATGCTGATCTGCCATTCATTCTGTTTATCTGGATTTTGCTAATTGCATTTGTAGTGCCTTTTGACTCAATCTTCTTATTTTTAAAAATATTTATGTTGTGCGCAAGGATTGTTGGTTGCTGATATTGTAACTAATTTTGGGTTCCTCCTGATTGACAGGTGAAGTGCATATCTGTGTGCCAATAAGAGATATCGGGTGAAATGCAGAACTCAACTACCAGGGCATATGAGAGTTCTTCTTCCTCAGGAAATAGCAGCAACGATGCTGGTGATTTTGAATGTAACATCTGCTTTGAATTGGCACAAGACCCTATTGTGACACTTTGTGGCCACCTCTATTGTTGGCCATGTCTCTATAGATGGCTACGGCTTCATTCACAATCCCATGAATGTCCTGTTTGTAAGGCCCTTGTACAAGAGGAGAAGTTAGTCCCTCTTTATGGAAGAGGGCGGACTTCAACTGATCCCAGATCAAAACCGATTCCTGGGGTTGAAATTCCTAACAGGCCAGCAGGGCAAAGACCTGAAACGGCTCCTCCGCCAGTATCAAATGCTTTTCCTAATCTCGGTTTTGGTCACGTGGGAGGATTTTTTCCAGGAGCAACTGCTAGTTTTGGTAACTTTACAATGTCTGCTGGTTTTGGCGGGTTGTTTCCATCGTTGTTCAGTTTTCAGTTTCATGGATTTCCCAGTCCAACTGCATTTGGTGCAACATCAAATTACCCATTTGGATATCCTCCTGCATATCGTGGGGCGAATGTTCATAATGCTGCACGGCCTGCCCAAGGACAGGCAGATAACAATCTGAAGCTTATGTTCTTACTTGTTGGATTTCTTGTGTTCCTATGTTTGTTTGGTTACTGAATAAACTTTCCTCTTCATCTCAGACAGTTGGTTCCTGATCTAACTTGTAGTAATCATTCTTAATGGTTGTAAATATGTTGAATTTTTGCACTCATGATAAAGTTGCTACAGAAAAAGGAACTGATGTGCTTATCGGATCCTGCACTTTGCCTTTTCTGTGTAACATATTTTTTGCTAGCCACATCGCCTAGTTTTTCCTTTCGCTGCGGAAAAAAGATATCCAGGAAGCCTCTGGTCGAATATTTGATTTATCTGTACATATATATAGCATTTATTTTATGCCTCATTCCCGGTTAGCCATTTTACATTTTTTTTTTTTGTTTTCCAAGTTGGCGTTTGATACCAATAGGGCCAAGCGTGGCTCCTCTTGCGTGATAGTTGAATTCAGCAGTAGTTTATGATTTGCTGAAGGAATGAGTTATGAACTTATAATAGTGATTAGTGGGACAAAAATTATGGCTTCTTCTCGTGGCTACATCGTTTTTGTGTATGCAGATTGAATGTGATTGTGAAACCTTGTCGGTGAAAGATGAGAAATGAGAAATGACAGAAGTATCATCTGCTACAAAACTGTCTGACAATAGTGTAGCACTTGATTATGTGGATTTTTGCGGTTTGTATGTTGATACAGCAAATGAGAAAAAGACTTGTGGTTTGGAGAATCTCTCTTGCTGGTCTATTAGATTACAATTCCGCGGCCTGATCCATAAGTCACATTTTTGAGCTCGGAACTAAAATGTGGTTCTTTTGAACTTAAAGAACCAAAATGTGTAGAAAAAAAATAGAATTTTTACCTTCTATAGCAAATGTTAACACCTTATTTATTTTAAATAAATACCATTTTAAAAAATTATATTCTACAGATACCTTTTAATGTTTATAGCAAAATATCTAATTTTGGTTACCTCCTACCCCTAAGCCACTAAATACGCTATTTTTTATTTTTCTCTCATTTTTTAGATTTTTCTCACATAATTACCGTATTTCACATAAACATCTTACTCCAAGTTCTTTCTCTCTCTACTTTGATACATGTCATTCTCTTCCCCCATTCCCTGAAAATACCTAAAGTAACAAAAAGAAAAAAAGCCGGCGCATCAGCTTGAAGAGAGGAGAACGGCTGGACAAAGAGTGGACCTAATCCAAAGAGACATCTTCAGCGCCTCACACCCCTTTAGATCTTCATCATTCTTTCCCTCAAAATTGAAGATACACATACACAGATATAGTAGAGAGGAACGGATAAGAAGAGGACGAAACAGAGAGAACGAGAGTAAGAGGGATCGTTGCCAATTTGCTGCTTATTCAATTTCTTGGATTACCATGGAATTTACAGTTATCAATTCCAACGAAATTATCTATCTTCTTGTTTTATTGTGTTGTTTACAATACAACGAAATTATCTACTGTACAGGATGCGTGGGAGCAGTGAGATTCAGGGTTTTTGCTCGACGGAGAATTCGCCGAAAATTAGGGTTTGTTCTTGAACAAAGACGACAGAGTTTGGAGCTGAGCAACTTGAATTTTTGTTAATATTTTTCAATGTATCACGCTGTATTTTCATGTATTTCATTGTATTCATTGTCTTTTTTCATTGTAATTCAATGTATCTCGCTGTATGTATTTCATTGTATTCACTGTCTTTTTTTTCATTGTATTTCAATGTATCCCGTTGTATTCTATGTATTTCATTGTATTCACTGTCTCGCTATATGCCATGAATGTATTCATATGTTTTTTTTAATTAATATAATTTATGTATTCAGATGTATTATATAATTTCTCTGAAGATTGCTATGCTTTTGGGGTATTTTTTGGTTGAGAATCTTTTTTATAACTGGAAATACAAAATTTGGGTGTTATAATTGAGTTTGTTGAGTTATATTAGGAGTCTATTATGTTAATTGATTCACTTTCCGTTTAAAAACAGTGTAGTCCCATGTTTCACGCCGTGAATACAGTATACAATAATTTGTCCAGTCGTAATCCCATGTTTCACGCCATGAATATAGTCGAATACACTCGAATACAAAAATCTGTCTAGCTGTAATCCCCCGTTTCACGCCTAGAAATGCTACTGTATTCATGAATACAGTAGCTTAAATACATCAAATACATCTTATAACAACAGAAAACGTATCTATAATCCATAATATAGCAAATGGTATCTATAGATAGCTAACTACCACTAAAAGATAGTGCTTTAAGAAAATTTCTCAAAAAAAATTTGGCGACCAAAATATATATAACGCCCTTTTAGAAGGTGCTATATGTATAAAGCCTTTTATACACATGGCGCAGAAAAAGAAGATAAATAGAATTTAATGTACCATAAGGAATTAGAGTGTTGGGTGTTGCAATTAGGGCTGGGCATAATTTGGTAAATACCGAATTATCGTACCGAAACCGAAAATTTTGGTATTTGGTATACGATATTTTGGTATTTGGTATGATATTTGGTTTAAGTTTTAAAAAAAATTGGTATTAGGTATGGTATTTGGTATTTGAAAATAAAATACCGAAATACCGATACCGTACCGAAATATGTATTATATTACACAAAACACATATTATCAATTATAACATAAATATAAAAAATCCAAAATTTTACTTTTCTTTATTCTCAAAGTTCATCAATTAACTCTAAATTAAACAAGTAACAAGACATTTCTAATGATCAAATATTCTTTTATGTACGATTTTCTCTATTTGGGTCGATATTTGCTAGTTTGGACAAATTTTTTGTCAACAAACATTTTCAATTTTGTACTTTGAGTACTTTAATTAAGAATATTAGAGTGTATGGCTCTATGCACTAGTTAGTATACAAACCGAATAAACCGAAGTTACCGAACCGAATAAACCGAAACCGAAAGGAGAAAAACCGAACCATACCGAATTTAATTACGTACGGCATTGGTATAGGATTTTAAGCAATCGAATACTAAAAATACAGAACCGAAATATTTAAATACCGTACCGTACCGACCGACGAACACCCCTAGTTGCAATGGTTAAAGGTTTGATATGAAGTTCGTTTTGACCTTGAGGTCCAAGGTTCGATTCCTTCATTATTTTGTTTTCCTATTTCTTTGTCATTTTCATTTTTCTACATTATTTGGTTTAAGTATTTTGATATAAATAATTTAATATTTATAATTACTTTTCAATGTAATTAAAATAATTTAATATTTGTTAGAAAATTATGATTTTTGAATTCATTTAAAGTAAAAAAAAAAAAAAAAAAAAGAGAGAGAAGCCTTTTACTATTTCGTTAAAAAATCTACCGACATTTTTAATAGTTGTTATTTTGTATTATACGTAAAANGTACTCTTTTTCCCTTACAAGGTTTTGTCCCACTGGGTTTTCCTTGCAAGGTTTTTAACGAGGCAACCAAAAGGCGTATTGTTAGATATGTGTACTCTTTTTCCTTTACTAGATTTTTTTCCCATTGGATTTTATTTTAGTTAAGGTTTTAACGAGGCACATTACTTATTGAGTAGACATTCAAGGGGGAGTGTTATGAATAGAATTGTAATTAGAGTGAATGTCTATCTTTCAGAGAGTTTTACTTTGTGGCTAAGTCATTTTTCCCCTATAAATAGAGGGGTCTTACCCCATTGTAAATCATCCCAAAATTCAATAACAATTTCCTCACTCTCTTTCTCTGCAATATTGTTCTTCTTCTTTTATTGTTTTATAACAAATTTCGGTTAATAAAATTCATATAGTGTAAATGTAACTACAATTTTAATAACTAAATTTAAAAAGAAAGATATCAAAAAATAAATAAATTCAAGTAATAGATTAAACTATATATATTATTCTCTTATGAAAATTTTAACTATAAAATAAAACTCATAATTCTAATTTGAAAATAAAAAGAGAAAAAAAATAATTTTGTTTTATGTATAATAACAAATAACAACTATTAAAAATGTCGGTAGATATTTTAACGAAATAGTAAAAGGCTTCTCTTTTTTTTTTCACTTTAAATGAATTCAAAAATCATAATTTTCTAACAAATATTAAATTATTTTAATTACATTAAAAAGTAGTTATAAATATTAAAGTATTTATATCAAAATACTTAAATCAAACACTACTAAAATATCTGGTTTTAGCGACGGACAAATTCTGTAGCTAAATAAAATCTCATTTAGCGACGGATTAGCGACGGATTATCAAGAAATTCTGCTAGCTACGGGCGATTTAGCGACAGATTAGCGACGGCGTTCGTAGCTAATTCCAATTATTTTTCGTAGTGAAATAATGAAGAGAAATGAAAAATAAAAAAGAAATAGGAAAACAAAATAATGCTACTAGAAGGAATCGGACCTTGGACCTCAAGGTCAAAACCAACTTCATATCTAGCCTTTAACCATTGCAGCACCCAGAACTCTACTTCCTTATGGTACATTAAATTCTATTTATCTGCTTTTCCTGTGCCATGTGTATAAAAGGCTTTATACATATAGCGTCTTTTAAAATGGCATTATACCTTAACGGGCAAACAACCGTTAAGGTATAGTGCCCTTTAAAAGGGCGTTATATATATTTTGATCACCTAATTTTTCCCCCACACGTTTTGGTTCTTTGAGTCCAAAAGAACCACATTTTGGTTCCGGACAAAAAAAAATACTTTAATTAATATTATTCAATTTGCAGAAATCGTGATGGATCCTCCGTCAGTGCATCTTGGACCTGCTGATCTAGAGCTGTTGTTGCTCTAGGATGGCCATAGGTCTTCACACACATGGGATGAACAGTTGTTGTTCCAGAACTTCCATCCCAGACGTATAGACGATATTTGGGAGTTCATCATGGACCACCCACTTTATCCCCGTACAGTTACATGCCTTGAGCGGATGGGGTTTTATCAGATTATAGAGATCGGCCGGTTGCAGTTCGACTGGCTCCTGATCACGGCTATGATAGAGCGGTAGTGACCAGAGACTCACACATTTCATCTACCTATCGGAGACGCTACCATCACGCTATAGGACATGAAGGTTCTATTCGTGTTGCCCGTTGATGGTATGGCTGTCAGCTAACCGCAGACTCTTAGGGATTATATGAGAGAGGACTATCTACATACACTACTAAAAAATTAGGTTTTAGCGACGGACAAATTTTGCAGCTAAACAGAAAAATCCGTCGCTAATCTCATTTAGCGATGGATTAGCAATGGATTATT